GGGTAACGGTGCGTTCTCAATTGCCGGAACGAACGGCGAGCAATGGAGTCTTGCCAACGCTTTATCTGTTGGTTCGTAGGCAAGATGCGGTATTGGCATCCCAACCTCGACACTTCCATGCGTCCGAGGGGCCAACCGCTAAAGGGCTAAAACTCTGTGTGGATCGTGTGTCCTAGCGTCCTCCTTCTGTCGCGCCCTTTCTTCAAGCACAGTCTGTAAGTCGGACGATCTAGGCAACTCCGTTTTCCTGGATGATGTATGGTGTGTGTGTGAGGGCCGATAGGTACTTCCCTCTGTGTAAGACCTTAATGATCTCGTTTTCTCAGACCTAGAGTAACGAGTTATGGAAGTCCTTGATTGAGTGTCGCTCATCCTGAGGCTTCGACTCTCTGCTTGCGATGTCGTGGTATGCCTACTACGATCTTCTGAGTAGCGAGGAGGCGCATTGCCTTTGCGCCCCTCTCCTGTCGCCATCCCTTTTCCCTTGATCTAGCGCTTCATGACCTCCATATCCGCCGTTATCTTCCTTATCAATTCATCTTGCTCCTTCACGCGGTCCTCCAGAACTTGAGGATCGATCCTCCGCCTTTGTCTGTCAGGACTTTGTGAATGAGAGTGACGGGGGCTGTTAGTCCGCCTCCTCCCCCTTGCATCCCTCCTGGGATTCTGTCGTTGTGGCTCCAAGTCCGCCATGGGAGGGATAGAAGGTAGGCCTTCGCACCTCACACCCCCCTCTGGTGTTTGTCCGTTGATGGCGGACTGCGGAAAATCTTCGTTGTGTGTCATTGCTTATAAAGAGGAAAAGCTTGTTCAAGAGGTTTTGTTCTAGTCTGATGTTTCCCACAGACGGCGCCAATTGTACGGGAAAGAAATAAACCTTCTCGTATAATCCTGTTGATCAAGATTGCACTCCTCCGTACGACGTCGTTTTACTCCTTGAAAATACAAACGTGAGCTAGCCGGCGGGTGTGTGCCGGATACCTCTCCGATGCCTAAGTCAGCAGAATAGACAAATAGACAAAAAGCTATGTATTCGAGAATCAAAGCTGTGTGTTACCTCTCCATAGGTGATGTTATGAGCTTTTATAGGTTCCGCGCGGCACAATCCAAGTAGGACTCTTACTCTTCCATGTAGAGTCCTCCTAGGAATCACATTCCTAAAAGATAATGCTTATCCTTCAACACCCCCCTCACCACTTAAACCAAGTGAGATGGTTTACCACGGTTGGATGTCAATACGACCGAGCTAACATGACCATGCTAAAGCCACAGACTAGACCGAGATAACTTTAGCTCGGCTCTTCCATTCATTGCTCTCACGTCGGTTTCTCCCAGTGCTAACCATGGTATGTTCCGACCGGGATAACTTTGTGTGTTACGACCGAGCTTACAGTAAGCTCTTTGGGACTGGAGTAACTTCAAGCCTCATTTAGGACCGGAGTAACTTTAGGCCTCCTTTCCACCGGAGTAACTTTATGCCTCCTTTGGACCGGAATAACTTTATGGCCTTTTTACTCAGCCCTTCGTCCTGTCGCCCATAACAGTCCATTACCCAGCTTGGCCCAATTTTCATATAAATTACCCTATCATATGTTATCTTGGTTAATGTGGCAGTTTATGTTATGATTTTAATAACTGTGTAACTTTCTGGGTTTACTTTGTTTACTGAAGTGGAGGCAATATTGATAGCTAATATGCATGCCACTATTTGTTTTAATAATATGGATTGCTATTGTGCCGAGACAATATCCTGACAGTTGAGGCAATGGCTATTATATGCTCATTTAAGTATTCCATCTTTCTTGTCCTTTACAACGAGGCTGTTTGGTCTATATAGTTTGCAAGCTTAGTTCTTGATTATAGACAGATTAATGAATATTTGAAAATATAAAAAATGTTTTGTCATTACCACACCAAACATTTCCTTTGTTAATTTTGTTTTCAAGATGTACGTGTCTTCTCATTTTTATTTGTTGGATTTTTCTAGGAAAACAGATTTTTGGTAATGGTGATTCGTGATCTATTAAATTTGCGTGAAATCACAAAAGGAAAAGACAACAAAGCATTATTGCAAGTAACATTGTGTAAACAAATTTTTGTGTTAAACTTGCATCTCCAATTACAAACTTATATATGTACAGTTTTGGATGGTTTATAACTTTTTGGATAATTTAGAACTTAAGGATAGTCCTTTTGGATGTCTTTGAACTTGCGGTTAGGTTTTGTATGTTTGAAATGTATATATTGACAATTTTTGAATGTTATAATTTATATATATAGTTTATTTTTTTATGGTTGAAATAATATTTTGGTGATTGATTGATATTTTGTGAAGCTTGTTTGTAATATTAGATTGTACAAAACAGGTCAAATAGAACCTGTTGAATTAAAAAAAAAATGCACATTCTACGGCAAGCAAATTAGGTCATTATATGAAATATTCCACAACATTTCATGTGTTCTACTTATCTACGGCAGGCTGAGCAAGTCATTGTATTATATATTTTACGGCGCGCAATCAGTGTTGTAATTTGTCTCACCAAATAACAGCATGCAAAAGTAGTCATAGAAAAAGTAACAACGACGCACAAAATCTGTCGTTAAATAGTTTTTAACGGCGTACTATAGAATGTCGTAGAAAAAGTAACAATGACGTACAAAATCTGTCATTAAATAATTTTTAACGGCGTACGTAGCATGTCGTTGAAAGTGAATGACTTTCCATGACTGGTCATAATATGACGTGTGCTTGCACGTCGTAGAAGGGTTTTTACAGCATGCATTGCGCGCCGTAAAAACCTCTTTTTGTTGTAGTGCATGAGCATGTGTTGGAAGTGCTTCAAAATTTTCTTCTTGTTCCTTATCCCACATTGATTTCTTATTAGTTTTTTTTTAACACCTTTTATATGTAGACCTTTGTTATTTGGTAAGGGGCAAGAATGTCGGGGAGACTATGTAAACTTTGGGCCATATGTGTGAAGTCCATATATATATACACGCATGTGTTGTATATGTGAGCTAATACAATATATATATATATATATATTTCTCTCATTGATTTTATGTAGATTCATTTCCTTTTGTAATTGACTATGATTAAGGAATTAACTAGCTGTTTAATATTTCAAGGGAATTTGATTGATTCATAATTTAATGAATTTGTTTGATCAAATCTTTGATTTATTCTTACCTTACTTTCAGACTTGAAATTATATATATATATATATACATATACGTATTCCTAGTAGTCTAATATATAGAAAAAGTTCTATTTTTTTCTCTGTTTTTCCCAAACAATTTCTTGGTTTCTTTGGGCTATTTCTTAGACGAGTTCAAGGCTTGCGTGATAAGTGTACACCATCAAGACTCGCCACTGTATCCTAGAGAACTTCCGCTAGTAGCCATTTGCACCCACTGGGGCAAAATTGTTTCTTACGGACAACGAATTGACTTCCGTGCCTTGGTTTCATTCTTTCTCTGTTATTCATTTTGCTTTTATCTTCTAGTATTTATTTCAGTTTGTTAATCAAGCAGAGTTCTTATATATATATATATATATATTTTCCAACAATCTTATGAAATGAATTTGCTTGATTACTAAACATGAATTATGTTTCTGTTGTTTCTGTTATTCTTGATATGACCAAACTGGAACCCTTTGATGGAAATCACTGCAAATGCTGGTCTGAAAAAGTTCTATTTTTTCTAGAGTCTCTCAATATTGATTATGTTTTGTTTAATGATCAAAATTCCTAATGATATTTTCAAACCAGCTTGTAGTGAATCTATTCGTTTGTATGAAAAAGATAACAAAATCTGTCACGGTCATGTTCTGAATTTTCTTTCCAAGTCTCTGTTTGATATATATTGTGGTTACAAATCTGCTCAAGAGATTTGGGAATTTTTGAAAAGAAAATATTTAACAAAAGATGCAGGTACAAAGAAGTACGTGGAGAGCAAATTTTTAGACTTCACGATGAATGATGAAATCTGTCATGCAAAATTCCTAATGATGTTTTCAAACCAGCTTGTAGTGAATCTATTCATTTTTATGAAAAAGATAACAAAATTTATCACGGTCATATTCTGAATTTTCTTTCCAAGTCTCTGTTTGATATATATTGTGGTTACAAATCTACTCAAGAGATTTGGGAATTTTTTAAAAGAAAAATATTCAACAAAAGATGCAGATACAAAGAAGTACGTGGTGAGCAAATTTTTAGACTTCACGATGAATGATGAAATCTGTCATCACTACAACAAAATTGAATATTTACAGCTTACAATGCATGTCATAGAAATTCCTCCACGGCATGCACACAAATGCCGTTATATGACATGCCGTGGAAAGTTGAGCATCATTTACGGCATGCAGGTAAAGTTGTAAAAAGTAATAAAGTAAACATTAATGACATACTTTGAATGTCGTATATAATTTTTTAGGACATTTTTGTCATGCCATAAATCATCATACTTTTCATGGCATAATTTTGCATGCCGTAGAAAGTTATTTTCAATATATTTATGGCATACTTTGTATACCATATATAATATTTTACGGCATTTTCTTGCATGTCATAAATCATCACACTTTTCACGACATAATTTTGTATGCCATAAAATGTCATTTTTAATATATTTATGACATACTTTGCATGTCGTATATCATATTTTACGGCATTTTCTTTCATGTCATAAATCATCACTTTTCACAACATAATTTTGTATGCCGTAGAATGTTATTTTTAATATATTTATGACATATTTTGTATGTCGTATATAATCTTTTACGGCATTTTCTTGCATGTCATAAATCATTACACTTTTCATGACATAATTTTATATGCCGTAGAAGATTATTTTTAATATAATATATGTGTATATATATACAGGAATATAACCTTGCTTAACAGTATGTAGATGATAGCTTATAAAATGCAACTGTTAACAAACCAAGCAGAAGCAACAACTATGAAGTAAGCCAAAAAATCCAATATCCATACACCAAACAACCTGCATACTAACTTTCATTCTCAACTTCTATCATATCAAGCTGATAACAACCTCAAACATACAAATCAAAAAAAGTATCCAAATCATAAGATTCATTTATCAACATGATCTACATTATGAAAGATGGCAAATTTTTGCTATCTGATTATGCATTTATCCAGAGTTTTAAATCACATGATCTACACTATGAAAGAACTGTCCAAGTACAAGTTTTGGGATCCAATAGTGCCCAGAGATGATTATGATCACCGTCCTTCACAGCTGTTGGCAATGCAACACTCATCACTTAGCTGTAACAATCAGCTTTCGTGTTTATCAAACACCATGGTGTCAACATCTCAAGTCTCAATCATAGAATTATCATCATCATCACCATCTTCACTTGCTGCAGATAACATAGCAACAAGCCATTTTCAGACCACCATATCTCCACCATTTATAGACTTTCTTGGATTTGGAGCTACTTGAACTACTTGGAAAAAATAGAGAGTTTTCAAAACTAGAAGGAAAAGATTTGGGTGCAAAGATGTATGACATGTCATTAGAGGTGAAGAGAAAGAATAGTTGTTCATGAAATGGTGACAGAGAATCAGTTAGTATCATTTCCTTGCAATCTTAATTATCTTTGTAACCATTCTAACCTGAAATCATTTTCAAATCTGAGACTGATAAAGGAGTGCCATAGTTTATTCTCTCAAAAATGCTAAAAAATGGGAAAATTTGCACAGAAAAATCAATGTCTACGCCTATAGGGTCATGCTTTTAGAAGAAGAAAAGGCCAACAAAGTTAGAATTTCAATATAATTTTTACATATTATTGATCGATTGGGAGAGAAAGTGAATGACATACCTTGTGAGGCTATACAAAGTCACGCAATTGAAACTAGATTATACAAAACATTGAATACACACATGAAATTGATGAACTATTATATACAAAAATTGAGAAAAATTCATTACTAATAAACCATGAGCTTAAGATATGCAATCAACACCAAACGAAAAAATATATAAATATGAGAAACATGAAGGAGAAAAGATGGGATGCCCAACCTGCTTTCACACGATTACTAATGAAGCTTCATTGTGTGAGATTAACATCAGACACTCAGATTTATGTGATAACTATAGGCTTCTCCCTTCTAGTGAAGTCCTTCCGCTTTGATACAGACAGCGCCAGATCTAACACCATGACCAAGTAAACATTAAATATAATAATATAAGTAAGCTTATCAAAATGACAAATGAACTAACCTATTAAAGGTTTTAGCGCAGTTTGGGCGTCCATGTCATGTTTAGAGACATCGGGCTCAAACTGTTCAATGTACATTCTAACAGTAGCACCAGCTGAACCAGTTCCCTGCAAATTGAAGGACATAACTTCCTACAATAGATTCTCTCATTAGCTCTTAAATATATAAAATGAAAGGTTGAGTTAGATTCACAAAAATTGACTTCAAACTTACCATACTTATCACCTGGCTTGCTCTTAGAAACCAAGTCTCTAAGATAATCTGTCATTTTGTTTGCTCCTTCAGATTCACGTTCCTCAATACGGAGTTAGTGTCAGAATGTTGCACCTGGCAATGCAAAAATTCTAGTTTAGACTTTCAAGTTTCAAATAAATAACAAAGTTTCAGAATACTAAAAAACAATTCAAAATACATCATAGACTAAAGCTTACTTCATAATCATATCTGGAAAAGAAGTTTCTTTCATAAGAGGCCCAGTGCTCCTTTACAACATTAGAGACGGACACCAATTTCTCCCCAGGTCTTTTGTCCTTGTTTCAATATGCAATTATTGAAAGCCAAGCCAATGCAGCCCTGTCAATTGGAAATGTTGAATCATTCCACAAGGTTTATGAAAATTTATGAGAGATGACCTAGACATACGTTATAGAATGAAGAAAATAAATAGTTGCTTTGAAGAGTTTTATACCGCCTGCTACCCAACCAAAAGTAAATCTAAGAATTTAAGTTGCAAGAGCCAAACGGCCCAAACCAGTTAAACTTTTATCGCCAGATGAAAAGAAAACCAAGGCAGTAGAAACAACTATTGTGGGAGTTAAACATAGGCAAGAAACCCAAAATAAAAAAATAAAAAATATATATATGGTAACCTTGGAGGTGAGGTTCCCTTCTGAGCTAGAATCATATTAATCCTAGTTTCAAATCGACATTTGAACGATGTCATAGTGTCATATTAATCTCAGTTTCAAATTGACATTTGAACAATGTCATAGTGTTAATCCCAGTTTCAAATTGAAACGCGTAGACACCAAAAAATAAAAACCAATGTTGGACCAGAAGCAGTTTGCTAACACTCAGGAAAAAATAAAATTCTTATCATACATGAATATATACCATATCCCATCCTTCCCATGAATGTGGTAAGAGCTTGTTCCAAAACTTTCTTCACCACAAATTCACAAATTTCCAGCATCCATAAGATTCCCAAAGAATTTCCAACCGGTAGAGACTTGAAACCAAAATGCCCATTTTTAGGAACGTACTTTGTCAGAACCTATAAATATAATGCAAATGTAGTAATAAACATCAAACCAACTCCACTGGTTTTCATGAATTTATCAATTATCAATTTATTGTTCTGATCTATTTATTTCAATTTTTATGCATCAGATTCGCAATTACAGCCCACCTCCCAATATTAACAATAGTATTAAGGTCAGTGTGGTACTGTATTGTCTTTTACATTTGCACTAACTGATCTTTGCTGACCAGTGTCCATTCCGAAGGGTAGACTAGAGTCTATGGCTGGGATCAGGGTGCTTCTAGTGTTGGCCTATGTAATTATAGGGAGAAAAAAAAAAAGAAAAAAAAAGAAAAAAAAAAGAAGAAGAGAGCATTATACAACAATGATTCATCCCACTAAAAACATCACCACTAATAGCACTAATGCATTAAAAAAATAAAAAATAAATAAAAAAAACACAACTCCAAAACCAAAACATCACATCATTAATGGCAGGACCCACTGCCACCTAATTAGTGGGAGCACTAATTAGTGCTCCCAAGCATTTTTCGAGCATTATATTATCTACATTATGACGTGCTTCATATTCATGAGAAATTATGTATTAGATGGGGAAGCAAAAACAAAGTTAGCAACTCTAATTTTCAATTCTATATATTTTTAGTATACATTTGTCTGAAGCATAACACAATCGCCAAATCCCAATAGGATTTTCTCAATCTCTAACCATTTAACCTTGCAGATGGAAGTTCGGATTGAAGATCGCCTTCATATAGAATTTGAGCACAATAAAAGCAAGTAAGAAAGAATGACAAATTTGTGTTTTTGATTAGTAATTTATTTTCTGTGGCTTACTATGCTCTTGTTTAGACACCTAGTAATAATTAAACTTTGTTAATCCAATAAACTAAATCTTGATGAAAAAAGAAAAAAAGAAAAAGAAAAGGCAGCTCCTGGTTGTTCAGTTCAACTGGGTTGGGCAGGACACTAAACCCAGGTCCCACTTCTTCAATCAATCAAAGCTTCTTATAACTTAAAGCCAATATTAAGCCATATGTATTAGATTCATAAATAATTTATCACATGATGCATTGATGCTTGTTGAGACAGACTTGTTCATGTTTGACCTTATTATTAACTAATAGGTAGCAATTGTCTAATAAAGATTCCATGTGCTCATAGAAAATTCTTACTAGCAAAGGGTGACATGAGCAGACTTTGTATGACTTTTTGGTTCATAATAATTTAATAAAATTGAGTAGGATTGGATTATCAGCTTCATAAATAATTTATCACATGATGCATTGATGCTTGTTGAGACAGACTTGTTCATGTTTGACCTTATTATTAACTAATAGATAGCAATTATAAGAGTAACTAGTACTTCAAGCACACACTTCATCCCCTATTAATGAATTTATTATAGTCAGTCCAATAATTTTCAAGAAATTACATTAATTTTATTTACAATAAATCTGTGTACAATGATTCTTCACAACAAAGTCAAGACATATACAAGTCCCTATGGATTGATTCTATCCGATTCCCACCTAGTTCTTCAACATATTGTTTCCATCATCCTCACCATGAACTCTTCAACAACTTCCATCAAGTTTTGCAGATTTTCATCAGATAATTTTTCTGTGAACCTCTGCAAAATTCTTGGAATTTCAGGACTAGTCCTCTACTTAGCAGAATTTCATTGAAGCTTTAAATTACAATTACAATTACAAATTGAAGTGAGAGAGCAACAAATTGAAGCTTTAAATTACAATTACATTGAAGTGAACGCCAAACAAAATTGATGAATATCATTTTCCTAATATCTAGTCACAAATAGTAATCCTCTACACACAAAATACAACTAATTGAGATTCCATCAAGAAGCATGAACATGAAATAGGAAAACTGAAGTGGAATTTAATTGAGAAACTTAAACAACGAAATTCTTAAATAAAATGCACTGGTTTTGTTAACTGACCGAACTTGACGAGAACGAAGAGCTTGAGAGAGAGAGAGAGAGAGAGAGAGAGAGAGACAGAGATGGAAGTGCTCACATTAGTAAACGATGGTGCTCGCTCCTCTCACCGGTGCAGATGGTGGAGGCGATGAAGCTTCGAAATCTCAAAATTGAAATTGCCAATCGCTCTGAGATTGGAGCTAAGATGAATCACCAATCACTCTGAGATTGGATCTGAGATGAATCACCAATCGCTCTAAGATTAGATTAAACGGGGCTGAAGAAGGTTGATTCGATCGGTTGAGAGAGATTAGGGTTTAGAGAGGGTTGAGAGAGAGAGATCGAGACGCAGAGAGTGAGTGAGAGAGTAACGAGGCAATGTTTTTCAATTTAATTAAATGGGCATTTGGGATGTGGGTTTTTATATATGTCTTTTTAGTTGTAGGATATTATTGGAGAAAATTTTTTTGGTGTTTGGGAAGATAGTTGGATTTTTTTGTGGTTAGATGTGATGTTTATGAGGGAAAAAGTAAAATGATTATGGGGTTGGATGTGATATTTTGTTTGGATTTGTTTTTCTGATTTTACAAAAAAATTTATCTTTTAGTGAAAAAAATAAAAAAAAAAAAACCAGCACACAAACTTACAAAACACCACCTTGTTTATATATGCTATTTCGTTTTGTGCTCAAAAAAGCAAATAAACCATGAGAAGCGCGAATTGAACCCAGGTTTCTCAGTTCCCCTTTAAAATGTCATAAAATGACATAGGTTTCTTCTTAGTCTCAGCACAGAGTTCCTGAAAATGCCAAAGGCCATTTTAAATTAGTAATATACTTGCAATATTACAGATAGGGGCCTATTTTGATATAAATATTAATTATTAAAATTATAAACTTTTTTATGAATATGTAATTTTTTTTCTCAAAATCCCACTAGGTGCAATTATCCCTTAAAAAAGACACTAAATTATAAAACAATGTATAAATTATTTTTTACCTTGTCCTCAATTAGGAAAATGTTAGTTTTTTAAAATAAAATAAAATAATTCGGGTTGAAATTTTTTTTAATAAAAGTTTTCACGACATGCTAATGCATGCCGTGTAAAGTTATAATATTTTACGACATGAAATGTATGTCGTCTTAAGTGTAAATATTTTATGATATATTTTTGTTTGCCGTGAAAATATACATTTTTTACGGCATGCTTTTACATGTCATAAAAAAATTTCGGATTGAATTTTTTTTTTTTTTTTTGGCAAAAGTTTTCACGACATGTTAATACATGTCATGTAAAGTTATAATATTTTATAACATGAAATGCATGTCGTCTTAAGTACAAATATTTTACGACATATTTTTGTAAGTCGTAAAAACATACATTTTTTACGGCATACTTTTGCATGCTATAAATATATGAATCAACGACTTATATGGTATGTATACTGTTATTGACAAAACATTAACGGCTTGCAAAAAAAAAAATGCCATAGAATGTACTAACTACGACATGCATTTAATACATGTCGTAAACATGATGCCGTAAATGAAGTTAGATGACACCTTTCATGCTGCAACACTTATCAAAAAATTGCCACCATCTTGGAAGGATTACAAAAATTCTCTCAAGCACAAGAAAAAAGACCTCAGTTTGGAAGAAGTTATTGTTCACATTTGCATTGAAGAATCCAGCTGGATGAAAGAGAGAAGTAAATATGCTCATGAATTCACATCAAAATCAAATGTGGTGGAGATGAAAAATGTAGCAAAACAACATAATCACCATCATTCACACTCTGGGAGGAACTTCAACAAAAAAATATTTGATGAAGAAGAACAACAACAATCATCACAACAATCACAACCACCACCACAATAATCACAACCATAACAATCATTTTAAAAAAAAAAAATCCGATGGAGTTTTCAAGAAAAAGAGAGGATCTTGCTTCATGTGTGGTAAGATTGGTCATCATGCTTTAGAATGCAACAACCGCAAAGGCAAGGAACCTCACCAACAGAAACCACAATGGAGCTTGACTGAAACTAAAATAATAACAATGGTTGTGTCTGAAGCAAATCTTGCTGGCAATATGGTTGAATAAGTGATAGACACTGGGACTATTGGCCATATTTGTAGCAATAGAAATATATTTGCTACATATGAGTTTGTTGGTGATGGTGAATGTAACACCCGCGTCCTTTAATCCATTAGAGTGTGTATTTAATTCCATTATTTTCTTTTGGGAGTCTTTGGAATTGTTGCATGTTGATTTTGGAGGAGTATGATCTAATTTAAACTCGTTGGATTTGTTTGTTTGCGTTTGTTCTTGTCAAAACATTCCTTGGAAACTTAGAAATTTTGCCTTAGAGTCAGCACTATCCTTCCTAAGGGTCAACCCTTGCATGTTGTAATGTTTCTGGGAGTGTCGCTGGAATATAGGGTCGACACCAGCCTTAGTGGTGTCGACACCTGCCTCTTGTTGCTGTCCACAAGAGTAGACACCAGTCTGGAAAAGGTTCGACCCTCTTGTGTTACAGAATCTGTGTATGTTGGTGGCTGGAAAATAGGGTCGACACCAGCCTTGGTGGTGTCGACATCTGCGTGTTTTTTTTTAGATTTTTGGACTGGTTTGGGCTTTACCTTTGGGGGGGAGGGGGGGTTTGGGCATATTATTTTATTGACCTTGGGTTTCTTGTCTACAGCTATAAATAGGCTCCAAACACATTTCATTCCACTTCTTCTCTTCTTTCCTCTCTCTTAAACCATGAGTGCTCCTCTCTCTCTAAACTCAAGCTTTTGGCACCAAAACCTCTAGATCTACTCACCTAGAGTGATTGTTTCACCATGGTCCCTTGAGAAAAGTGTAGATCTCATCATAAGCTTCCTCTTGGTCCGATTGGTTCGTGGCTTCATCACCATGGATGTTTGGGTCGTCATCTCTTGGCTTCAAGAGGTAGGGGTCCTAGTTCTCCTTCAATGCTTACATTGATAGATAGATTTGTGGAATTTTGGAATATATAAATGCAAAATCTATATTTTGAGCATATAGTGTAAATCATGAAATTTTGGGGTTAGGGTTTGAAATGTTGGGGTTCTATTATTGGGTTTAGATTACGGTTTATGGATTATGGACCTAGGGTGTATGATAAATGGGAAGATTGGAATAAAAAGTAATGGGTTAAGAAATTTGGATTTTTCTTAAAATTTCTAGATTTTTCTTGAAACCCTAGGTTGATTTATGATGATAATCAATGATTTGGCCCAAATTGAAAGTAGAATCATGAAATTGGTAGGTTGAATTATATATGTACAAGTTTAATTGGAATTTGGTTATGTTTGAAAATTATGTTTAAAATTTGCAAATGAACTTTGTTATGAGCGTTGTAAATCATGTTATAATGAGAAAGGAAATTAGGGGAAATGATTTATTAATGATATAGATGACATAAACTCGATTATGGAATGTTGAAATGGGATTTAAGAATTTCTCTTGAATTATGTTGAATTATATTTAATGATGTTGAGTTGAATCATGTTTAATCATGTTGCTTATGTTGAATCGTGATGATTATGTGGAATTGTATTGATTATGTTGATTTTGGTTTTTGTGATCTAAGATGTAGAGTTTCCAAAAATGGGTTTAATCTCAAATCATTTTATTAAATTCCTAGTGGGCTTGTTTAGTCATTCAACTCAAGAGGATGATTCAATGGGGCCTCTTTATGGGGATGGGAAATGTTTGGTTTTTTGTGAAAACACTAGAAATTTAGAGATTTTGGGGAACATGAGAATGTTCATAAAACTCCTTTCTTTCTTTGAATAGAAGATGAATGGGTGTAAATTTCATAATATGTTTTGCAAAGAATGGTAATCTTTTAAATATATTGAGTTAGACAAATGGTTTTGAAAACTTCATGTGTAGTCCTAGATGAGACCATATTGCTATGACTTGTGAAATAAGGAAGTTGTTGGTATATGGTTGACTTGGGAAGGAATGTTATGAACCATGGAAATTTTTGCAATTGCATATCATTTCATTTATTATTGTGCATGGTGGTTCTAAATCAAAGAGATTTGCATTCATGACAGAAAATGGTTTGTATGAGAAATATGGAAATGTGTATGGGGTAAATACGTTGGTAAGTCCGGATAGGGAGTGTAGATGAATTTGATAAGTTGGCCTGAGTGTCCAGAGTGAAAGACCCGAAAGCCGCACAGATAGGTGTCGAGCCTTCCAATTAGCACCGGTAAAAATGACAGTTTGGTAGTGCTTGTTGAGCCTACTTGCAGACACCAGCCTAGAGATTACCAGTGTCGTATTTACCGCCCCTATTGAATTAATATTGGAAGTTTGAAATTGATGAAATCATATGATAATATTGAGAACATGGCGACGTGAAACAATGTATTGAATTGAATATTTTTCCTTATTGATTTCCCTTGGCATGGCATTGCATTTACATTTACTTTTGTGTTGAGGAAAAAGCATAACTATATATATACCTTGTGAGAATTCTCTACAGAACATGGAAATTAATTACAAAAATGGTTGGTTTTCAAAATGAATTGGGTGCCCGCTATCCCGCTGTTGTAAGTCGGCAAAAGGTGGATTGTGTTGGACTATGTGTTGAGTTGATGATGTTATTGTTAAATTGTGATGAATTTGCGAAATTACATATTGATGGGTAATTTGGTTTAAAGTGGAAACGTGCATAGGCATTATTTGTAAATAACAGAAACAACAAAAAAAAAAAAAAGATATGAGGATTATAGACTGATGGTAAACTTAATGAAGTAGTGGTGTTACTAGACGTAAATTGTGAGCGTTGTTCTATAATTAAATAAAGGATTGAATTGAAAGGGGTTGTTAACATTGTGTTATCTTGAAATAAAACTTTGCAGGTGTAATTAACGATGTGAATTGAGTATAGGAGAAGTGTTGGCGAGTTAAAAAGGCGCCTGAACTTGAAGTTATGGGGTGTTAAATTAAAAATGAAGAGTAGAAAAGAAGAATGAAAGGAAAGGAGAAGTATGAAAATGGAAAATTAAATGAGAAATATTTTGGGAATTGGTTAATAACCTTTAAATGATGTTGTGTCTTAAATATGGTTGTTTCACAAGGATCTATGGCTTTCTAAAGTTAAGGGATGCTTTTAATGGCTGAAGGTTTTTCTTAAAAGTGTTTAAATAGTTTTTTTTTTTTTTTTTTTTTTTTTGAGAAAAAGATACCTTACTTATGATATTTTGAGATTATGAAATGTCACTCTACTATATGGTATCGCCCTGCATGCATGATCATTTCTATCTGTGTGTTAGTTATTAATTGAGGACTATGAGATTTCTACTAGGCATTAGTGCTCACCCCGTTGTTGTTTGATCTTTCTAC